CCCCCAACCATAAAATTGGCATCTTGGTTCCTAAGTCCATCAAAAATATGTGTTTTCCGATGGTCTTAGGTGACCCCTGTGAAAGGGTCGTTCGACCCCCAAAGAAGTCCCGACCCACAGGTTGAGAACCACTACACTAGAGAATATATAGAGCTGGAAACATCTATTGAAGGGGTGTCGAACCCGGTCACATCGCTGGCCCTATGGGTATATTTTTTGTCCTTGCAGAGACGGGGTGGAGCACGTGCATTATGGGTGTGGACACGTGGGTGTGTGCTGTCACGTGTGCACATTTTTGGCCTACAAAGACAAAAAGGTTAGCCACCACTGATCTAAGTTGTCTTTTAGCATTGTGGATCATGCAACAGATTAAAAAGTTTTGAAGAATCTTAATATTTGGGTTTATAGAACTAATACTGTAATCAGCTAGGCCAGGGCTTTGTAAGAGGAAACTTGGAATAGTCTATTAGTATACTACATTACTGTATATGTCTATTCCCCATTGAATCTACCCAACTGATTTAGTTTAATGGTTGGTACATTCCAGGTTCCTTTGATTAAACAATTTTATCTATTTGGACCCTAGAAGCATGCTTTTTTCTGTTCCTCCCAGTACCTGCTCTCTAGAATGAGGTTCTCTCTGACAGCTGGATAGCTACCACATGGTGGGATTTCAAAGGGCCTTGAAGGCTTGACTAGTGTGGTGAAACCTATTCTGTGTAGTATGCATAGATTTTAATTGTTGCCCAGTTTTTTCACCTTTTCGCCCCTTTTTAAATTATATTTTTTATTATGCATTGTTAATTTTCTGTATTTTCCCTTGTGAACTGCTTCAAGGGCACTGGGAATCAGATGATGTAGAAAAACAGTCTGTTCATAAACAGACAAACCAACAAAGTGATTAAGTGATTAAATTTGACTATAGGTTGTTTGCTTCCGTATGCTAAGTCTGTCTGTGGATTTAAGATGCCTAATTTTGTTGCTTTTCTGATAAAAAGAGATCTGGTGAAAAATACTATCTGTTATCTGTGATTTGTCACTGAACTGTGCAATCTTAAGGATTCTAAAGTTGTAGAAATGAATCTGGGAATTGCATGAAGCTTGTGATTTGCCTGCCTTGGGTTAGTGCTTTAGGTTCAGATACATACATACATACACACACGAACATGTTTGGCAATATAGTGTATGTGTTGTGGCCCAGCAGGAGCCGTTGGAGCTGCCACCAGACTCTGACAGCGAGGGGCCTTATGAGTCAGCTCTGGAGG